GACTTGTTTATATCATTTTTCCATATAAAGGCCTTCATTGTCTTGCCAGGAACTGTGGTGTGGAACTGAGTGGTGAGTTTCTTCAGAAGCTTTGGCTCAGATTTGTATATTCCCAAGGTTCTCTTTTGCACACTTGTTTATTYTGAAATAGCTCCACACAACTTCTTCTTTTTTGGTGTTTACTGACGGTTAGGAAGGTGCATTACAACTGGTAGGGCGTGTGAATCGGAACAGCCAGGTAATTAAAGTAACTGGGATTGCACCTACTCTATCACCTRACCACCCAGTGAAAAGTGAACATCACATTGCATGATTGATATAAAGACAATTTTATGAGTACAAAAACAATTACACATTTCATTACATGGTGAAAACGTTACTGTCATAGTAATCTTGAGCATCTCTGGAGTGAAACTTGCAGGAACTGAAACCAGTTTGACCAGGAACTACATGAAAGTCCTACGTGACAAAGACTGAGAAATGTGTGACTGATGATGACGATGATGATGAAKGTCCTGTTCATGGTATGATATCTCACAACAGGCTGGAATGTTAGAATGTTTGAAATTATAACCTGGGCAGAATGAGATCCAAAACAATTTTAGCTAAAAGTCCATTTTAAACAGGATGTCTAAAAACTTTGACTACTTAAAACGTTGTGAATTATTGTGCAGAATATTTGATACTTATTAATGGGAATGCTAGTTTTGAAAGCTAAAATGCTCGTCCACACTGCTCTGAAAAGCGTAGCTTATCTGTTCAATTAGCTGTGTCAGGAATTCGTCCAGATTGTCTAAAGCATCGCCACTGTCAAGTCTCTCAAAGACATGATTGATGAGGACCACGTCAATGACATGCCCTGAACTCTGTAGCACCTGTGCTACCAGAGAGGAAGTGAGCTCTGACAATACTTCAGTCTGCAGAAGGGGATAAAATCATGAAAGAAAACATGACAGGTTTGCAAAACTGTAGGAGATAAGATGCTTGTTTGTGAGAAGAGCTCAACCACTGCAGATAGCACTTACACTTGATCAGTATGGATTGTCATTCTTTAGGGTGGCTAAACCAGAGAAGGCGAAGCTTTGCCTGCTGCAAGTCATGACTATGACTGACAGATGAGATGCAGYAATCCAAATCTTCAGTCAGCAGCCAACAAAAGTCCAGCCAACCCACATGCTCTAATAATATCATACTAAGTTGTTGTTTCCGATCCAATGCTGCTATTTTGGCTAATTTCTCACCATCTGCCTCTGCTCTGTTTCAGCTGCNCAGCAAAGGTTGTGTTTCATTCCTAAATACCTAAATGTAAGCTTTATCATTTAAGATTTAACATTTACATTTAGATTTAGAATTCAACATTTAGCCATAATAGTTATACTTAATCTTTAAATTTAATACTTAGAAAAAATGAGCAAAGTGTAAGAACAGTGAACTAAATAATGAAAATGTGTTTATGACATGTTTTAGCATTTTATTTTACCTGTCTGCAACAGGCTTGTTTTCAGTGAGTAAACGGTCATAGGTTCATTTATCATCTTATTGTGTTTTAATCTTTGTTTTGTTTTGTTTGACTTTCACAATTTAAAGGTGGTGGACAAATGAAAATATTAGTACCTGGATTGTTGAT